CTGTGGCAGGGAATCATATATGCGGGTGTCTACAGAATGCAGGTAGGTGGTTTGGGAAAGGGGGAGGGGAGGGGGGGGAGGGGGGGGGGGGGGACAGGTCGGTCTTCTCGGAAGGCTGCATTTTTTGACGGTCAGCTACGTCACGATCCGGAATGGGGGAGGTGATGCAAAGAGGGGGACGGACGGGGGCGGGGGGAGGGGGGGGGGGAGGAAGAATTTATTGTTCGCAGACTCACTCACTACATATTCTGTCGATCTCTGTCTCTGTCTCGACAACAGGTTTGAGGGCTTCTACGCGGGCAAGCTGCACCACATTGCTGTGAGCGCCATGTACTCGACGTTTGGACGGCATTCGGACGAGTGGCACTCGATGGGCCACACCGAAACCATTGCCAAGGCCGAGAAGAAGGGCACAGTGAAGTTTGCCACAACATTCACCATTGTTTACAAGTTTGCGGCCATCCAGCACCTGAGGTTCGCGGTGTGGGTCGGACAAGGCGTGCGGCGGATGAAGCTGGGCACTGTCGATGCGCGGCTGTCGGAGATTGTGCGGGCGTCCGACTCGCTCTCCAAGATGATTGTCCACGTCTCGGTTCACAAGCAGAACCCCGGGTTTATGCTTCTGCGCGCGTCAGAGCAAATGCTCCCGCCGCGCAAGGTTCCGCCGACACTGGCGGCCGAGTTTGTCGGCTGTGCCAACTACGTGCCGTCTGAGGAGGACCGCCAGGAGGCAGCAGGCGCCGACGGGACCCAGATTCTTGGCGACGAGGAGGACCCGAATGTTGACCTTGTCGGCAACGGTGCCGTCATGGGCGACGTCAAGGGCTTTGAGGCCGACGACCCGTTTGCTCAGGCAGTCGCCGCCGCGGATGTCATCGAGCCCGAGCCGCTGCCAGCCGCTGCCCCGGTCGCCAACCCATTTGGCTCCGACTCAGAGACTGACTCGGAGGGATCCGACTCGGAGCCGGAGCCCGCGCCGGCACCGGCACCAGCCGCCGCGAATCCGTTTGGTTCGGACTCGGGGTCGGACGTCGAGTCGGACTCGGACTCGGAAGACGGTGATTTGCAGGTAGGTGGCGCTACCGCTGCCGCTGCCGCTGCCGCTGCCCCGGTCCGCCAGCCGTCGGACCGCAGCCGCCCGCCGCAGGTCACTCCGCCGTGGCGCGTCGAGTGGAACGAGCAGTACAACGAGTGGTACTTTTACAATCGGGCAACGGGCATCTCCACGTGGACCAATCCTGCCGAGGCGCCGGCGGACACGGATCCGGAGCACAAGGCGCTGGAGGACGCATACTTGACCGGGCTTGTTGCGTTTACCAAGGCGCCGCCAGCGGTTGTGGTGGAGCAGCCGGAGCCGACGCCCGAGCCGGCTCCCGAGCCGGCTCCCGAGCCGGCTCCCCCAGCTGCGCCGGCGGTCACCCGGCCGCGGTCACTCTCACAGAGTCAGCCGTTTGCGGCGGCCTCGCGCTCGCTGGTCAACATGAAGCAGTACGCGCACCGGACCGGCCTGCTCAAGGTTCAGGGCAAGTGGCGCATTGTGTGCGCCGTCGGCAAAGACGTCTTGGTCTACCGTAAGAAGGCCAAGGAGACCGAGCTGCCCAAGATCTCCATCCATCTCCCAGGCGCTATGATTGCCCGCGGCAAGAAGCACGACGAGTTCATTGTCTCAACCCCGTCAGCTCCGGTCTTCACCTTTAAGACCTCGTCGGATGCCGAGGTTACCGAGTGGATGTCCATCATCCGCGACGTCATCAACGACCACGCCCCGGCCCGCGACCTCCCGGACCTTCCCGATCCTGCTGCTGCTGCTGCGCCGTCGACGCCGAGTGTGCTGCAACGGAACCGAGGTATGTTTTCTCCCACTTTGCTGTTCCCCATGCAGACTCTTCCATACTGCAGGAGTTATCACTCTCCTGTGGCCCAACTGTTTGCTAGATTTCCATGGAGGCTCTTCCATGCTGTGCAGGTCTACTACCCCTGTCCGGCCCAACTGTCTTCTAGATCTTCCGCCTTCCCACCCTCCTTCTCCCCCCCCCCCCCCTCCTCCCACTCACCCTCCACTCCACTCACCCTTCCCTTTGTCGCATTGTATAGGCACGCTGCCGCCGCTTGGGCTCTCGCATGGTGGCTCGTCTGGCAACCTCACGCCGCATCGCTCGCCGATGCCGTCAGGCGCTGCGACGCCGACGGCCTGGACACCGCGCGGGTCGGAGCCTGCCTTGTCCGACGATCTGGCGTCGTCGGGTGCTTGGGCGTCTGCGTCGACGGGATATGGCGGCGAGACGCGCGGGGCGCACGTGCCGGGCGCGATTGCTGCCGCCAACGCCGGGCCGGACGGCCCCAAGGGCTTCCACGTCAACGAGGCTGCAAACGAGGTCAACAACTACCCGCCGTTTATCTTTGACGAGCTTCCGGACGAGCCGGACCGGATGGATTACATTCCGTACTCGAACCCGTACTCGTTCATCTCGTACATCTCGTCGTCGACAACGCTGCATCTCATGGTGGGCATCGACTTTACGGTCTCGAACGGCGACTTTCACTCTAACCGATCGCTGCACCATGTTGCTCCCGGCGCGCCGCCGAACCAGTACATGCAGGCCATCCAGGCCATTGGCTCAGTGCTGACCGACTACTGCAAGGTGGACGCCATGCCTGTGTTTGGTTTTGGCGGCGTGCCCCCGGCGCGCAAGAGGTCTCGCACTGCTTCCCGCTCAACGGTTCGAACACGCAGCCCGAGTGTTCGGGCTTTGAGGGCGTGTTCGAGACGTACCGGGCGGCGCTGCACAACGTGGAGCTCTCCGCCCCGACGGCGTTTGCGCCGCTGCTCAACCGCGCCATCCAGTACGCCATGGCGGCGCAGGACATGTCGCCGGACGACTACTACGTGCTCCTTCTTCTCACCGATGGGTGCATCACCGGCGGAGTGGGCGGGACGGAGCTGCTGCAGGAGACCATCGACGCGCTTGTGCTGGCGTCGACGCTCCCGCTCTCGGTCATTATCGTGGGCATCGGCGACGAAGACTTTTCACAGATGACCATGCTCGATGCCGACGACTCGCCGCTGATCAACTCGCGTGGGCAGGTTGCAGTCCGCGACATTGTCCAGTTTGTGCCGTTCAACGCCATGTGCCTCGAGGAGCTGGCTGGCTCGGTGCTGGAGAACCTGCCCGAGCAAATGCTGGCCTACTTTGCGTCGCGCGGCGTGTATCCCGGCAAGTACGCACCGATGCCCGGACACGCGCTGCGCATGCCGTCGCTCGACGCCACCACCCCGGCGGCCCGCCAGCTGCCCCTGCGCCTTCCTTTTCCTCGTCGCCGGCCGGCTATGGTGGCCCGCCGACGGTCGCTGGCTACGGTGGCCCGCCGGCGCCCGCCAGCTACGGCGGCCCGCCGACAACGCCGCCCAGCGTTGGCGGCCATGCCTCGGCCGGCTACGGCGGCCCGCCGGCGACACCTCCAGCTGCGATTCACACCCCGCCGGCATCAATCCCGGCCTCCCTCCCGACCTCGCCAGGCCTCCCGCACGGGTGGGAGCTGCGGCACACCGACCGCGGCACGCCGTACTACGTCGATCACAACACCCGGCAGAACGTGTGGGAGCCACCGCCGCACGTCCTCTACCACACCCAGCTCCAGCAGCTCCGGGCCATGGGCTACCACAACGACGAGGCCAACGCGCGCATCCTCGCCGAATGCAACGGCGACATGGAGCGGACCATGGCCCGCATCCTCGGCTGAATGAATTCCTCTTGGTGAGGCCCCAAACCGACCACCATCCATCACACCTCGCCCTGCCCTCCCTCCCCCTTTGGACCAGAGCCAACCACACCCCACGCCCACACCACACCACACCACACCACACCACACAAGCCAGACATGGACATCCTTAGCCGCGAGCTGGGAAAGTATGTGGAGCTCGACGAGGTGGACGAGGACATGGTAGAGTACATGGCCGAAGTGCTCGAGTCGGGCGAGGCCGGCGGCGACAGCGACGCCCTCTTCGACATGCTCGCTCCCTTCCTGGAGCAGCTGGGTGGGCGTTTGAGGACGACGACGAGGAGGTGCTGCGGCGGAGTGTGTGCCGTGCTCTGGTGGCCGGAGCGGGTGGCGAGGCCGGCAACGGCGACGCTGGCCATGACCACGCCGGCGGACTGACCAAGCTCGACTCGGCGGTGGTCGTCTCGGAGCTCGACGAGGATGTGCTGACCAAGGGCAACGTCATGGTGGAGGGCTCGGCAGAGGCGCTGGCTTTGTCGACGACGGCGGTGAACAAGGCGGCGGTCGAGCGGGAGCGCGCGAATCGCGACGCCGTGGTCAAGGCCGAGGCCAAGCTGGCGGCCAAGGCGGCACGTGCGGCCGAGAAGGCTGCGGCGGCGGCCAAGGCCGAGCAGGCGGCGCGCGAGGCAGCCGAGGCTGAGGGTCTGCTTGCGTCACATGTGGTGCTTGCCGGGCGCGGCAAGCTGAGCGAGCGCGAGCAGGCCTCGCGTGACATCAACATCGAAGGCTTCCAGATGGCGTACGGCGGCAAGGTGCTGCTGAAGGATGCGACACTGCGGCTGGCGTTTGGCCGGCGGTACGGGCTGATCGGGCAGAATGGGGTGGGAAAGTCGACGCTCCTGCGGCATATCGCCAATGGCGACCTGCCGCTCCCGTCGTCGATGACAAAGCTGTACGTGGCGCAGGAGGTGGAGGGTTCGGAGACGACGGCGGTGGAGGCGGTGCTGGAGGCTGACACGCGGCGGGCCGAGCTGCTTGCGACGCGGGCGGCGATGCTTGCCAGTGACGGGACAGATGACGCAGAGCTTGCGGGGGTGGAGAACGCGCTCATCGAGATTGAGGCCGAGTCTGCCCCGGCGCGTGCGGCGCGGATTTTGCACGGCCTCCAGTTCTCAACCGAGATGCAGTCGCGGCCGACATCGGCGTTCTCCGGAGGGTGGCGGATGCGGATTGCCATTGCGCGGGCGCTCTTCCACCCGCCAGACCTCCTTATTCTAGACGAGCCGACAAACCACCTCGACCTGCACGCGTGCATTTGGCTCGAAGAGTTTCTCCGCGAGTGGCCGACAACGCTTGTGGTTGTCTCGCATCACTCGTCGTTCCTCGACGCCGTCTGTACCGACATTGTGCACCAGGCCTCGGGCAAGCTCGAGTACTACAAGGGCAACTACTCGGCGTTTGTGGACGCAGCCCGCGAGAAGCGGCTTGTCCACGAGCGCGAGTACCGCAAGCAGCAGGCGGAAATCGAGCACATGGAGAAGTTTGTGACCAAGTTCCGCTTCAAGGCAAAGGGCTCCAAGATGGCGCAGTCGCGGCTGAAGAAGCTGGACAAGATCGAGCGGCTGGAGGCGCCTGAGACCGAGGCCGAGGCCAAACTCACGTTCTACGACCCGGAGCCGCTCGACGCGGCGCTGCTGCACTTTCAGGGCGTCTCATTTGGCTACGGCCTTGAGCGTGGCGAGCGTGTGGAGGACGAGGCCGGCGCGTCGGGCGCGGTGACGCAGCACGCGGCCAAGCGGCTCATCTTTGACAACATCGAGGTCATTGTGTCGATGGACACCCGGGTGACGCTCGTCGGCCCCAACGGCGCCGGAAAGTCGACGTTCCTCAAGCTCTGTTCCGGTGCCGAGCCGCCGACCGAGGGCTACATCATCAAGCCAAACAAGCTCCGCATCGCCATGTTTGAGCAGCACTTTGTCGACGCCCTTGACCTCAGCCTTTCGCCGCTCGAGTACTTTAAGGTTCTGCACCCCGAGGTCGAGCGCAAGGAGCTGCGTGGCTACCTCGGCCGCTTCGGCCTCTCCGGCGAACTGGCTACCCAGGTCATGGGCACGCTCTCGGGAGGCCAGAAGGCACGCGTGGTCTTTGCTGACGTGGCGTGGACCTCGCCGCATCTGCTTCTTCTTGACGAGCCGACCAACCACCTCGACATCGAGACCATCACCGCCCTCATCGACGCACTCAACGCCTTTACCGGCGCCGTCATCGTCGTCACCCACGACCCGCGCCTCATCGAGAGCGTCTGCAACGAGCTCTGGATGTGCGAGGGCGGCAAGGTCGAGCGATTCGAAGGTGGTTTCCCCGAGTACCGCAAGGTGTTGATGAAGGAGCTTGGCCTGTGAGACACTAAACTGCACTACAGTCCTGCTGACGCCACAGACGCCGATGACGACGGCGAGCTGCTCCTCGGCGAGGGCGAGACAATGAGGTCCTGCAGCTCGGTGCCGTCAAGCGACGACGAGGCCGAGCCCAGGGCAAAGACCGAGTCGTCGACAAGCGCATACGGCTGCGGGCGGGCAAACGGGAGTCCGCACCACGCGTACGCCGCAATGGCGACAAAGCCGGCAAGCGCAGTGCCCACGACGGCGCCACGCGCGCGCCACAACGCGGTATCGCTCGACGCCGCGCGCAACGGGAGCGGCGTCGGGAAGACCGCAAAGCACGGCGTGTCGGAGCCAACTCCGTCAAAGACGGCAGCGGCGGCCCCAGACGCGTCCGGGGCGACAAGCAGGTCGGCAGCGAGCCGGGCACAAAAGGCGATGGGGCTCTCAGCGAGCGCTTCATCGTCTAGCACCGATGCGCAGGCGGCATGGACGGCAGTGCACGAGGCAGCGCAGAGATGGATGCGGGCGCGGCCGTCGGCATCGTCAGCAAGGCCAACAGCAGCCTCCGGCGCGCAGTGAAGAGCGCAGATGAGCGAGGCTAGTGCCGCGCCGCACCCCCGTCGCCGTACTCGACCACCGCATCACCGATGGCAGCATCGCGCGCAGCAGCAGACGCCGAGCCCTCTGGGCAGCACACCTCGCGATCGGCGTAAATCCGACAGCTGGAGAGACTGGTCGCCGCCGCAGAAGCAGGGAGCTGGGCGGTGAGCGGGCAGAGCGAGGCCGAGGCAGCGGTGGCGAGGACGGCAACAACGACGACGACGACGGAGGAGCAGCAGAAGATCGTCGTGGTAGTGGCGGCGGTGGCGGTAGTGGTGGTGCGGGACATGGTGGACCGACTCAGGGCCTGCGGGCACGGCCGGGTGGGGCTTGAGTCAGGTGGCGGCCGGGTCCGGGTCTCGAAGCCACTGTACGGAACGATGTCAGTTACATACATAGCCAAACCAGATAGAGCAACCACTTTGACATTCTTTGGATAGTCAAACGCCAATGACTAGAATTCGGAACCATCTTCGAAAACGATGCTCTTGCACGTGTGGATGCCTATTCCGACTCTGAGCAGATGGAGACGTGGTAGCGATGACAAACACTCTCGGTTGCCGGCCGAGCGGTCGTCGCTCCGCCGGCTTGACGGCTTGGGAGATTCCTCGCATTTACTGTGCTGACCGTCTTTGCCAGCACATCGTGCCATTTGGCACGGTCAACCGCGTGTACGTGAGCGCCGTTTCGATGGCGCGCGTACACACGATATCAAGGTGAGAATTGGGCGCCCCCGTCATCGTCGTCGCGCATCGTCATCAGAAAGGGTGGGCAGGTGGGTTCCCGCTCCGTCGGAGCCGACTGTGTCGACGCCATCGGAGCTCGTAGCGAAGAAAGGTGTCAGCCGCTTCGCTTCGCCCAGCCGGCTGCTAGCGTTAGCGACTCGTATGAAACAGCCCACCAAGACCCACGTTGCACACGGCTCGTTGCGGCCATCCAACATCGGCCTCTCGGCTGTCAAGGGCATGCTTGGGGAGGTGCATGTCATCGACTTTGGGATGGATGGGATCAAGGCCAACATGGGGACAATGACCATGGTGCCGTCGGTGGCGTACATGTCGCCCGAGGCGCTGCACGGCGACGTGACGAATGTCCGCGGCGACGTGTTTGTGGTCGGTACCATGCTGTACGAGCTGGTGGCGGGCAAGCCTGCGTTCTCAGGCTCAAACGCGCTCGAGGTCGGCTACCGCATCTCGTCGGGCTTCCGGCCGCACCTTAGCGAGACCAACGTGCCATCCGCGCAGCTGCGCGATGTGATCGAGGCGTGCTGGCTCGACGACGCGGGCAGCCGGCCGTCGATGTCGGATCTCGCCAACATGCTCAACAACCTCGAGGCATCGGACTTTGTGCGATCGCGGCATGCCAAGGCGTAGGAGGCGCAGCTGTGGCTGAAGACTTTTTATGCAGCCGTAAAGGCAGTCGAGGATGACGAGTGCGGAGGGGGCTCAGGAGAGAAACGGGGCGGTGCCAAACTGAGTGAGGAGGTCGAGCATGTCGAGGCACGCCTGCTTTGGCAGGTTGTCGCCGGCAACCTTGTTGCATTTGGAATAGACGCCGCGGGCGACGCGGGCGGCGGTGTCGTCGTCGAGGTTGGGCAGGACGTCCTTGAGCATGGAGGTCAGCTCCGGGAGCTGCAGAAAGCCGTCGCCGTCCTGGTCGTAGCGGTGGTAAAGAGCTTCGAGGGCCGAGTTGGCCGAGGGGCTTGAGGCTGCGGCAGTGGCCGTGGCAGCCGAGGCGGTCGACGCCGCGGCCTCGTCCGAGCCCGAAGAGAGGAGGGCAGTGAACTCAGCCTTTGCGGCGGCGGCGGCATCTGCGGCGGCGAGGAGCGGATCGACAAGGTTGGACCACTCGTCGGCCGACCAGGAGGAGGAGGCGCCGTCGTGGCGGATGCCGTTGATCTGGAAAGTCGGGGTGACGTGGATGGCGTTGAAGCGCGCGAGCTTGATGTGGAACTTGAGCTCCTTCATGCCGGACACGTCATAGTCAAAGGAGAGCAGGCGAGCACGGAAGGCGTCTGCAGGAGGCCCGGCCATGGTCGGGACGGCCTTGACGGCAGCAGCCATGATCATGTCGACCAGCGTCTCCCGGGTCCAGCCCTGCGGCAGGTCCTCGTCGCGGAACGACTCGCGGACGTCCCAGATGCCAGTGAGGATGGCATGGGCAGTGCGGTGCGGGAGGAGGGCAAAGGCGAGGACGACGGCCTGGTTGACGAGTGTGCCCTGCGGGTGCCACGGCTGCGGGGTGATGTAGAGGCGGAGGGCGAGGCGGCCGTTTGCGGCGACGACGGCCGCGAGGGTGTTGAAGGCCTTCTTGGAGAAGGGGCAGAGGATGTCGAGGAAGGCCGTGATGACCACGTCGGCCTCGGGGTCTCCGTACGTGATACCCACGTCTTTTGCAGGCACTGACATTGGTGGGAGGGCGTGGGGTAGGGTAGGTGGGGTGGGGTGGGGTGGGGGTGCAGTGGGGGGGGGAATGGGGGGAATGGGGAATGGGGGGAGGTGGGGGAGGGGGGGGAA